AACTCCTTTACCCTAGTTTTGGCTGTCATCTGCTATGAATTCTTCAAGCGTTGACCCTGAAAGACTGACTATGACTAAGTTTTTACCCGCTGGAGGAGAGGCTTTAGGCACCAAGATTCATGGAATTTATGAAAATATGACTACAATCCCCACAGGTGGAATGGTTACTCCTGGAAGGGAAACTATATCCCTTGGAAAGCACATTGTAACTCTAGGCGAGAAGACTGAGATCCCTGAGGGAAAGACTGTGACCTCTGTGGACTATCAGTCTGTGACATCTGGAGGGCTGACTATAGACCTTGTGTATCTGCAGACTGAGAGTTGTGGAGAGAAGACTATAACCCCTGTGGGTTATCAGTCGGTGACCCCTGGAAGGATGACTATGACCCCTGTGCCTGTTCAGACTGAGACCCTTAGAGAGACAACATTGGCCCCCAGAAGGAAGACTATGGCCCCTGAAAAAGTGCCTGTCTCCCCCCCCCCGAAAGATGTCAGTCCCCTTTAATTGGCATCTAAGGTAGATGCCTCTAAAAAGGATGCATTTATTTGGCATCTAAGGTAGGCCCTGACCCCAGGGTGGGTGGCTTGGGTGTTCAGATGGAAGTTGAAAACAGGATGTTGCCCTCCTATCAGCCAGCTCCCAGGATACATTTCTGTAGCTTTTCAAACCCTCTTTGGTTCCACTAATGGGAATCATTCCTCTGTCAACTCAATGTCCCTTCCAACAAATCTTCCCCCTCTAGAAATAGAAAATCCATAAAACTCTACTGTGGATTAAGGAGCCTAAGGTCTGTTGGTAGCATGATCTGGGGAAAACCTTTATCTTTCTTCTCAGTGCTGTGCAGAAGTTGCCTGCCATTCATAGGGCAAGACTGGACCAATGGATGAATCTTTTTTCTGTTGAATAAACTGCAAACGCAAGAATCCACCTGAGTTATCTGAGATTGTTTTAGTAGAAAGGAGCTTCACACTGCTTTTGTCACTTTGTCTCTTTCCAGGTCCTTTTCCCATAGTGCTATTCTTTGAAAGAAGAAGTTTATATCTAGGCTACAATGATGTTTTCCGATGTGGATTATGTGCTTCTTTTTCTGCCATGAGCAACTGCTTACCTCACTGTTGGTCAGAGCCAGAGTCTCTTCTCTTCTGAAACAGTTTTTCACAATCTTCAAGGGGAGCTGGGAGAAGAAGAGGGAAGTTGAATTTTTCAGTTATATTCTCTTCTTGGTAAAATATTGACTGTTCCTGGAAAAACACCCTCACCTAATTTCTCCTCAAGAGGTGGTTGAGGATAAGGTAAAAAATGTATTTCAAAAATTATTTTGTATAGTATTACCAACACATTACTCCTAGGTCTCCTCCTAGGAGACCAATTCCCACACATGAAACACTACAGTCTACCTAGGGAGCAATTTCCTAGGCATGAATGACCCTCCTAAGTTGTAGACACAGGACCAACTTCTAGCCCTCCATTTCTAGGAGCAAATGCCACACAAAGTGGGTATCATATCTATCATTACTGCTACCTTTTCTTTTAGGAGTGTAGGCTCCAAATATTTAAGCCAGGAGTCTTAAATTAAAATGCCCATAGGACCAGGAACCTGTCATAAATGATGAAGCATGTGAAGGCACATGGCCACATGCCTGTGTTGTCACAGCACCTGTCATGTTGTATCAGTTTTATGTTGTTGTATAACTAAGCAATTCTAAATCTTAGTAGCTCATAAAACCACCATGTACTTGAATCACAAATCTGAAGTTTGGAAATTAGGACTGGGTTTCACTAAATGGTTCTTACTATCTTGGCTGGTCCTGTCTGATCTTGGCCAGAGTCATTCATGCATTTACAGTTTTAGCCGGCGGTTGGGTTGGGGGTGACTGATATGTTTTGGCCTCAGCTGGGTTGACTGACATCACTTTCTATGAGCTATCTCACTCTTTAGCCAGGTTTGTTCACATTTTAATAGTCACACAGGGTGACCATAAAGTTCGCTGCAATTTATTTATTTTTAGACACAGTCTCACTGTGTCATTCTCAGTAGAGTTCAGTGGCGTCATAGCTCACAGCAACCTCCAACACTTGGGATTAGGCAATTCTCTTGCTTCAGCCTCCTGAGTAGCTGGGACTACAGGCGCCCGACACAACGCACAGCTATTTTTTGGTTGCAGTTGCCTCTGTTGTTTTAGCTGGCTGGGGCTGGGTTTCAATCTGCCACCCTTGGGATATGGGGCTGGCTACCTACCCACTGAGCCACAGGCGCTGCCCTCACATGCAATTTAAAAAGGTTGCCACTCTATATAGTCAGAAGGTAAGGGAGAAAACTTTACTAGATAGTTAATTTTCAAGTCACTGCTTGGATCATATTTACTCTTGCCTTATGGCAAAGCAGATCAAATGGCCAAACCCCAAGTTACAGTGGTAGGAAATTGACTAAGTGGATACAGTGAAGCATAAACAAATGAGAGGACATTACTGCAATAATATACCACACAAGTTCCATGTTCTAGTATTTAAAAGAAGCTGAAACACGTGTGTATATGTGTGTGTATATTTGCATTTAGTGGAAATTTATTGGCTTTGAAGCATTTGCTAAAATGTGTGCAGTTGGATGTGGCCTATGGACATCAGTTACGACCTTTGTACCAGGACCACTTTGATAGGCCAGTTGGATCAAAGGGTGCCACGTTTGCATTAAGGTTTGATGGGCTAGAGATGGGTTCACGTTTCATTTTGGGCAATGGATTGTCTTAGGTTTCCTCAATTATACTCATCTAAAATTTTGAGGATTATATAGTGATTTGGTCATGTTTAAAGTATAGATAAGGCATAGAGGTAAAACATTAGCCATTATTTCCTACATGGATAATAAATATTTTTGATGGATCTTTATGATATTTTGTCTGTTCCATTTTCTACCTGTGCTTTTTATTCAAGAGTGAGTTGCTTACAGTTTCTAATTTATCTATATTTTTATCTAACTGGTAAAGTTTTCTTTTTTTTCTTTTTATTGTTGGGGATTCATTGAGGGTGCAAGAAACCAGGTTACATTGATTGCATTTGTTAGATAAAGTCCCTCTTACAATTATGCCTTGCCCCCCAAACGTGTGTCACACACCACTGATAAAGTCTTCTTAAATTTTTCTTTTAGCTATTAAATTGATTGGGATGTGTACCTTCATCAAGTCAATAACCATCAGGTTTCTGGCCTCTACTGATGAAAGCTCTTAGTTGCAGACAGTGGACTCCACTAAATCTAATTGGAGGGAAAACATAAAAAAGGCATTGCATGGTATTAGAATTTCGGGGAAGGGGGATCAGGAAGCCAGGATGGGATATTATATGGCTAGAAACAGCATGCCCAAGAGGCATGATGAATTTTTAAACCATATTGTTAACGGTCTGAGATTTTATCCTACTTTCAACCTAATAATTTAGCTGTTTGCCTTGTGTGTGTGCTGGTGTCCACTGACAGATAACACAAGAGCTGTGGATCAGAGACAAGAGAGTTTATTATAATAATAGTAGCAAAAGCCAGAACAACATCTTATGCCAGTTGCATAAACTACAATCCCATGGGAAAATGCAATGAGGAAAAAAATTATGCCTGCACATGAAGTGGGTTCATTTCATGAGAGGAGCCTTGAAATTAGGAAACTGTGATCTTATATAGGGTTCCTGGTACCCTGCCTATTGTCCCATCTTCCCTCCTGCCTAGAGATAAAGATCTATCTCTAGTTCACAAGGTTATTTGCTATTCACATATCCTAGAAAAGACAGTCGAGGATGTGCAGAAATGCCAGAACCACGGAAAACACTCTGCAACAGTTCTAACAGTAACTTCACAATAATCACTGCTTGTAGCTCAGCATCTATAAAGTTGGAGACTAGATATTAGAACCTCTGTGTCAGGTTCTAGGAGACCTGGTCTCCCTTATGTACTTGTCATGTTTATTCCATACTTTATCCACTAAGTTTCTTGTTGGTACATTTGCCTCGCAGTCCCTAGGCCACATACAAAACTGTTACTTTAGGGAATCTTGGAGTTGTTGGTTCAGCTTGTCAGCCTGTTACACGAAGGTGTTCTGGAGGGGGGTTAAGATCAGTATATGTTTTTTTTTTTGAGACAGAGTCTCACTTTGTCACCCTGGGTAGAATGCCATGGTATCACAGCTCACAGCAACCTCAAACTCTTGTGCTCAAGTGATATCTTGCCTCAGCCTCCCGAGTAGGCTATTTTTAGAGATGGGGTCTTGCTCTTGCTCAGACTGGTCTTGAACTCATGAGCTCAGGCAATCCACCCATCTCAGCCTGCCAGAGTGCTTGGATTACAGACGTGAGGCATTTTGCCTGGCCCTAGAATCAGTATTGAGTTTGATAATGTTTCAACTGTAAGGATCACTCTGGGGACTCCATTTATACATATGTATAGATCCTTCTCATACTTGAGTATTCTAATAACAATTGCAACAAATGCTCTCAACTAACATGATAGAACAATTCACAGTCTCAATGACAAATGGACTAAAAACAAATGAACCTGGCTGTATTCAATAACAATATAACCTTGAATTAAAGGGGTTAGGGAAGAAAAGAACTACCTTAGTAACTTTAACTTTGGAAAATAGCATTTTGACTCTACACATAACTGAAAGGCTAAAGACAAAACTATACGCAAACACTGTACTCTGGTTATTAAATCCTTTTTTCTTTATAGGCATAGACATTAGCAATTCTGAAACTATGTGTATTAAGCAAATAAAAATACTGTGGATAAGGAGAGCTGGATTTCTTACCACCAGAGAAATGAAAGGGAAGAGGCTATAATGAATACTGTGGAAGGATCAGTATGCAGGAAAGATTTTAAAAATATATACAGATAAGTGGATATAGAACTGACACAGAAATATGTGCATACATAAATACATTTCCTAGCTTTACTTGCTGAGTGGGCTTGAAGTAATGATTTTCTAGTAGCAATAAGTACAAAATGCCCATATCTTGGTTTCTAAATTCCATTCTCTAGTAAAAAGGAACCAGAGGTCTTGAAATGGCAGATTCATAGGCTGAGGCTGAGGAAAGTCCAAGACAAGACTGGAGCATCGTATGATTCCAGAGAGTAAGAAAATACTCAAAAATGGTTGGGCCACATCAAAGAACCACCTTGAAGGAGTTGCTATTGACCAAATCTGGGACAATTTGAGCAACAACACAGTAATAATAAAAAATTATAACTCACAAAATAAAGAAAATATCATGAGTCCATTCTATGAATAAATAATTGAATAAATGAGGAAGAAAGGACAGCTTATAATAGAATGCTAGTTAATGAATACAGAAGTATAATGGAAATGGAAAATCATTATTTGGCAAACATCACACAATAGTATTTGTTGGAGACAAGAAACATCAATGGATGCTAAAATTATTGGACGGAAATACAAGAAATGGAATATTTGCACAGCCTTAAAATATTTTACAGCAAGATATTAATAAAGAGGGAAAAACAGTGGCATTACAATGTATGAAACATGGAAGACACCATTTAAACTAAATGATCAAAGTTGACTTCACATTAACAAACAACGAAACATGTCAATGTTACGTAGCTCC